AAGAAGTCATTTTTTTCAGCCCCGACAAGCATTACGCCTCCTTTGGGCCATAATTAGCCGTTCAAGGAGGGTTAAGCTCTCTCCGGGGCAAAGTACAAAGAGCACTAATGCTCTCAGTTGCACATATAGGCTGACAGTATTTCGACCATTTAGACCACTCAGACCTAAGAACGCAGCTGTGACGGAACAAGTGACTGGTAAGATTTGTCTGGCTTCCGTGTGCCAGCACCCTGGCTAAGCTATCTTACAATTCTTGTCTGACCTGAGTTTGGATATAAACGCATGCAGCATATGTTGACATTCTGGCTGCTAGAGATGACTCTTGGTCGACACCGAAAACGGTGCAAGGATGAATGGACAATATGACCCGTTGTCATTATTTACATTGAAAGTGAACGGTACGTTGTTGCATCATGTTACTTGATACATATTTGGCATAAGGCTGAATGGTAGTGCTATGCATTTTATTTTGTGACGCAAGACGTGTTCACAGATGCTCTGCTATGGTAGAGCCTTGCCGCAAATGGAAGACTGGGCTGCAGACATGTCCAGAAGAGGAACTTTACCGATTCAGAGTCAACACAGGATTTCTCGGAGGCTTACAGTTTCTAGAGCATATCGTGCACCTCAGTTAGACGGTCCTATAGACCCACCTTCCTGCTGGACTCCCTTCCTATATTCTATCTCTACTCCGTACTTCGTGCAGGCCTAACATTCTCAGTCAGTAGAATATGCTACTAGCCATCTGGTGAATCGTATGTGCTTTAGCATGTTCACCACTGGAATTAATAGACCATACGTACCCCGTACATCACCACAAGGAAATTGTTGCTAATGGAAAGTATGGAGCACTTCGTCTACACACACGTACGGAGTACCCTAACATGGACATTCCAGATACCACGTGGTGGATTAGAGCCCTAGCAGTCCACTCTGATATCGCCCAGGGCAGCGCACAGACTAAACTAATCCAGATTGCCTTGTTTACAGAAGGCTGACAGGGATAGAGACAAGCATCTTCTTCGCCCACCCCATATATTCCGTACTTCCGCAAATTATCAAAGGGGGTGGTAGTAGGCCCGTTCGCTTGTTCTACATAGTAGAATCGATCTTGCTGTGGTATACGGAGTACTTCGTAAGATGCGTACATACTGTAGGAGACACATCGTGGGACGCCTCCGATGTGACTATACGAGAACTACAACATACCCACCATCACTTTCGTGTGGCCAACGGCACACTGAAGTATCTTACATAGGAAGTTTTCTCTTCCTTGGCCGATGGATGGGAGCGAATTAGTACATAGGAAGGATGAAATCACAAGTGTAGCTAAGAGCGGAACGGCGAGTCAAGTAAATCGCGCCCGAAAAAGGATGCAATCATTAAAGCCTCGGATCTCAAAGCTGTTTGCGGCCTTACTTTGCTGCCTAGCAGCACGAGTAAGGGGAAAAGGAACACATAACGACCACACACCGTAACTAATCCATCTAACTTATTTGGTGTGTGACTCTAAATTGTGCTCTCATCCTCGGTAGCATCGTCCTGACTCGGGAATGAAACACTATTTTTCATGTGCGTACGGAGTATGTACGAGGGCTAAGGGAAGATACCCCTGATGCGGAGATGTGTCTATATCGGGATAATTGCGTAGTGAAATAAGATAATACGGAGTACTCCGTAAAGGCTATTGAGTAGACAAAGTAGCATGTGAAAGAAAACCACATATCGGTTCGCCGGGAATACTACCGAGGGAGGGTATCCATTGCCGACTTCAGGCTATTATACTCCAAGAAAGGGCCGAATAATGTATTTCAACTGCATTTCAACAAACGACTGCTGGAAGACAGCCGGACATGTGCTAAGCCGAATGTTCATTCCGTCAGATGATAGAGACGCGGAACGTCTTTGCCTCCAACACCCCTCCCCAGATTATGCAGAGTTGCCACCCCCAGTGGCTGTCGGTTGATCTCCCCGTGTTTCCCCCAGATTTGGCGCTATAATTATACAGGCCTCGTGAGTTCTAGGCATCGAGTCCGACTACAGGACGCTACTACTGTTCGGCGAACTGAAAGCTACGGCTAAAATTAACACGAAAGGGAAAAATAACATACAGAGGGGAGACAACGAACGTAAAAAAAAAAAAAAAAAAAAAAAAAATAAAAAAAACGATAAAATGAAAAGAAAAAAGTAATCCATGGGTCACATTATTCCGTTTGCAGAAAACGGAACAAGCAAATGACATGCTCCGTCGGGAATGAAAGATAGATACAGAACAAAGAGAGAAGCTAACAAGCTCTCGTAAGGCGGCAGCGTAAAGGCAGCGGCAAATGAGAGCGGCAAAACACCACGCTGCCGCAGACATTCTGGACGGTGGAAATAACTAGGGCGTGACCAAGAGTGAAGCAGTCACAGGAAGGTGGGATGGCAGCCTCAGCGCTTATCCGATATGTCGAGTGGAAGTCAGCGGCTGGGTTGCCAAGACATGGAAGACACAGCCCTCAGCTTATCAAAGATGATCCATCAATCAGATCTCTTGAGCCTCTCGGAAGAACACCCGTTTCGTGCTTTCACGGAGAGGGAGCTCGTCACAGTTCAGAACTCGACACGCGTCCTTGATACGAGATAAGGAGTTCAGTCACAGGATCATTCATGGATGCGTATGTGCTTGGAAATGGCCAATAACACAGAAATTCGGGTGGCCTGCGAATAGAGCAGTTCTCCCACATCTCCACGTGGTCCTACCCCTGGTAGCCACCGGGTGGCATGTTTAGCCGAGTGGCCTCCCTGGTGCCGTAGCAAAAAGGCAAAGCGAGTGAAACGATGCGGGCAAGCCGCATGTGATATTAAACAACCGAGAGGTGAAGGCTGCTATATGATACAGCGGCCGTTCTGGACGTCGGAGTTTGTCTCTACTATGTACGAGTAATGCTGTGCCTGCAATCTGCTTCCCGCTCACAAGTAGCAAGCTCGCCGCAGAATGGCCGGAGCTTCTGCCCTTTCGGAAGTGGTCCGACGGCGGGTAACATGTGAGAACGGACGGCTGCCACGGAGGGCTTTCTACAGAGTATTATGCCTGTCATCTGCAATAGAGCGGGTGTTGAATCAATAGTGAAGATACACAACATAAAAGTGATAATATCTCGGGATTTAATGTGTTCTTTGTATTAATCAGGGACCCTTATAAGCCAAACGGCCGTTTTCTCCATTGTGTGAAACGGATGCTTCTTGCAAGCCAAGCCAGAAACGTACAGAGTACTTGAACAGCCGTGAATTTATTCATTTTTTATCCCAGACCCCCCGAGGTGTTGTTCTTGACGACCTGCAAGGCAGTGGACTCATCAATGCCTAACCCCCTAGACAGCCCAACTAAGTCAAGCCAGATGACCAGAATATGCCGGGCAAAGGTGCAGACTGACCTCCAGCAGCGTTCGCCTTTGGTGAGGCAGAGAGCGGTGACACGGCCGACAAGAGACTTCTGCTGGCGGTCAGGACAAGATTGGCAAGCCTCCTGCAGATGCTCCGTACTGGCCATGTTACAGTGGAAGAGCGGGTGATGCACGCCATGCGGCGCCAGATCCACCCGCTCCTACGGCAACATGCTGCGGCTCCATGAGTCAGACGGCTCCAGCTGCTCGTACCAGTACTATGTAGGCCTCGAGGGCGAGGTCGGCAGCAGAGGGGCTTTTGGCGACCCATAGCGGACCCGTGGTAGACGAAAATGCCGGACGAAAGGTTCTTCGCAGATACTTTTCATTCCACAAAACTCGGTCTTCGCCGACCAACAGACGGGGTCGGAGATCCAGTTCTGGTCGTTTTAATGTGCTCTTGCCAGCTGTCGACACCGGCTCTACTGTACAGTTCCGCTCATACCAATTTAACTTATATTATCTATTTTTTTTTTCTTTTTTTTTTTTTTTTTTTTTTCGTTTTTTTCCTTTCTATCTCCTACTTCCTATTTACCAAATTTATCCAATTGAACCATTTTACGTCTCACCTTTGCGTTTGCGATCCAGTCTGCCGACCTGGTGGTTGTGTTTGATGCGTTGGCAATCCCCCGTGCTCAGATGACCGTTGGGCTGCCGTTTGCGCACTAACCGGCCGTCCAGACGTCTCGGCTGCCAGCTTTGCTGGTTGCTGTCCGCGCTCACCTTTTATGCGGTCCGCTCGGGGCGGCCTATCAGGTCGGCAGAAGACTGGGCTTTCCTGGTACAGAGTGTCCCGTTTTCTGCACATTGTCCCCCGTGGATGATAGTTGTCCCATGGCGGTGTCAAGATCAGGCGACTCTGCTGGGCAACTGATCAAGTTCAGGCGTGGCTGCAAAGCTTGACGGAAACGACGAATCGAAATACACGTCACGTAAACTAAACACAAACACGAAAAACATCCCAGCCGGACACGGAAAATAAGAACGATTAACGAGATAAGTTGAAACCGCCGCCGGTGAGACCACGTATCTGTCTCTTGTCAATCTGGGACCCCCACGTTGAGGCTGTGCGACCTACATAGAAGAGAGAAGTGTCACGCGTCGAAGCCAAGCCCCAAGAAGAGCACTGCGTGCCGCTATAAGAAGCCAACGGGTTGGTAAACAAACACGTACGGCCATAGATACTGGAAAGCACGGGATCCCGTCCGCTCTCCCCTAGTTAAACCAGTAATCGGCGGATTAGTAGTTGGGTCGGTGACGACCAGCGAATACCCGCTGCTGTACGTTTTCTTTTTTAGTCTTCTCTTAGGATTCGTGGCAGGAGACTGACATGTGCTTCGTGCAATGGATGGCGTAGTTGGAAAACCTCGGTCGATTTCAGGTAGGTCGTAACGTGACGGAGCGCCTGTATTTTTGACAGGTATGTGGTTCTGACAGCGGGGTTAGTGCTGTCCAACGCTCCTTCCAACCGAATGGCATCTGCTTAATCATGCATCTTGCCGCTCGCAAACAATATACGCGCAAGCTTTATATCAATTGCCTCCGTCCAGCTCCGGTCAACCCATCACAATCAAGATGACACGCGAGTATTCTACGGGCAGACTGCCGCTGCAGCCGGTGCAAAAGCCGCCGTTCACGATCGAGTCCCCCGGCGCAGTGGCAGTGCCGGGCGAGACGATTCCGCGGCGGAACCCCCAGGCACGAGATGGGCTGCTGGAGCAGCCGGTGCCAGGCGTAAACACGATGTTTGCGCTCCTGCAGCGCAGCGCGCAACTGCACGCAGATGAACCGGCTGTGGGCAGCCGCAAGTTTGTGGGCATCCGCAAGGAGACGAAGAAGGTGTCCAAGGTGGTGGACGGCGAGGTGCGGCAGGTGGACAAAGAGTGGTCGTTCTTTGAGCTGTCCAACTACAGCTATCAGACGTATGCGGAGTACCTGTTGCTGGTGCAGCAGGTCGGATCCGGGCTGCGTCGTCTGGGGCTGGCCAAGCAGGACAAGGTGCACATCTTTGCGGCGACGAGCCCGGAGTGGCTGGCGGTGGCCCAGGGCTGCTCGTCGCAGTCGCTGGTGATCGTCACGGCGTACGACACGCTGGGCGAGGCCGGGGTGCAGCACTCGCTCAACCAGACCGGAGCGGTGGCGATGTTTGTGGACCCGCACCTGCTGAAGACGGCGACGCGGCCGCTGGAGTCGGTGTCGACGCTACGATATGTGATCTACAACAACGCGACACACCAACCGGTGCCGGACGAGCAGCTGGAGGCATTCCGTACGGCACACCCGCACCTGCAGGTACTGAGCTTCGAGGAGCTGCGGGCGCTAGGCGAGGGCGAAAACGGACAGGCAGCCCTGGCGGCGGACCCGCCACAACCAGAGGACACATTCTGCATCATGTACACGTCGGGCAGCACAGGGGTGCCTAAGGGGGTGCCGGTGACGCACGCGGGCTTTGTGGCGGCCGTGGCCGGGCTGTACTCGGTGGTGGGCGACAGCGTGACGCACAGCGACCGGGTGTTGGCATATCTGCCGCTGGCACATATCTTCGAGATGGTGGTGGAGAGCCTGGTGCTGTTGATCGGCGGCACAATCGGCTACGGGTCACCACGCACGCTGACGGACGGATCGATGGTGCCGGGCTGTGCGGGCGACCTGCGGGCCTTCCAGCCGACAATTCTGGTGGGTGTGCCGCAGGTGTGGGAGACGGTGCGCAAGGGGGTGGTGAGCGGCGTGGACTCGGCGGGCATTGTGGCCAAGGCGGTCTTCTGGGGCTACGTGTGGCTCAAGGGCGTGCTGGCGCGAGCGGGCCTGATCGTGGGCCCGGTCGAGCAGGCGGTGGCGTGGCTGGACGGCATCGTCTTCAAACGGGTGCGGCACAGCACGGGCGGGCGGCTGCGGTTCATCGTCAACGGGGCCAGCGCGATCGCGGGGACGACGTTGAGCTTCCTGTCACTGGTGGTGGCGCCGATGATCACAGGGTACGGGCTGACAGAGACGTGCGGCAACGGGGCGCTGGGGTCGCCGCTGCAGTGGACGCCACGGTCGGAGGGCCCAGTGTCGGGAGCGCTGGAGGTGAAGCTGGTCAGCCGGCCGGAGCTGGGCTACGAGGCGAATCCGGCCACCGGCAGCGGACAGGACGCACACGGCGAGATTCTGGTGCGCGGCAAGCCGGTGCTCAAGGAGTACTACAAGAACCCGGAGGAGACGGCCGAGGTCATCACGGCGGACGGCTGGTTCCGCACGGGTGACATTGGAGCGTTTGACCGCAAGACCGGACATCTGCGGGTGGTTGATCGAGTGAAGAACCTGGTCAAGATGCAGGGCGGCGAGTACATTGCGCTGGAGCGGCTCGAGGCCGTCTATCGCGGCGCAGCTGCGGCCCAGAACGTCATGGTGTACGGCGACGCGGCTCACGCGCGGCCGATTGCCATCGTGCTCGTCAGCGAGAAGGCCATCGAGGACATGGCGGCACAGCTGGGCATCGTCGTGCCGGCTGGCAACCACGCGAGCCTGCACCACGACAAGCGCATCCGGGCGCAGGTGCTGAAGGAGCTGGTGGGCGCCGGCCGGGCGGCTGGGCTCAGTGCGATGGAGCTGGTGCAGGGTGTCGTGATTGCCGACGAGGAGTGGACGCCGGCCAGTGTGAGTTTGCGGGCAGAGACGTCTTTGGATGGCTAGATCGTGTGACTAACAGAGAAACAGGGCCTGGTCACGGCGACACAGAAGCTCAACCGGCGGCAGATCAAGGAACGGTACCAGAAGGAGATGGAGGAGTGTTTCAAAGGGATATAGGAGGTTGTGGGTGGTGTAATTGAGTTGGGAGTGAGGAGTTGGGAAATGCAAAGTGTGAGTTCCGAGAATAGTGAGAGCAGAGTAGCAGTACTCCTTAGTCAGCAGTCCAAAGTTCTGTAAAGGACGACAAGAACACAATCGCAAATGAATGCAGCAGGCAGCAGGCACTACTCCATATACTCTGTAATCTGTATGCACTAAGCCCCGGGGCTAAGACGGCTGGGTCACACGCCTGCCAACTCTGGCCATCCATCTCTCTTCGCCCCGCCTTTCTGCGCCTCTCCCAATTTCGACCTGCACGAGCGACGAGCGTCTCCTGGAGCAGTTGCACGGTCTCGACGGGCCTTCCGCCGATGCGCGCGTCCGCTCTCAACACCACCACGATTTCCGCGTGTCTCGACATGATCCGATCCTGACAGCCCGCTGGTCCCTCCGCGAAGAGCGTCTCGAACAAGGCAATGGGACCGACACCCGGCTCCTCGTCCGCCTCGACGACAATTGTCCGTCCAAGTCCGGACGGCGGCAGCCTTTCCAACAGCAGCAGCAGTCGAAGCCGCAGCACGAGCATGAGCACGGGTGCCGTCAACGGCTTCAGTCTGGGCGTGGCGGGCCCGCTGGTTGGCGGACCGGCCGCGTCTCCGCCTGGCAGCAGCAACGGCAGCAGCAAGCCGTTTGCCCACTTTGACGACATCAACAACGTGCCGCTGGACGTCAACGCCGACATGCCCGTGGAAAGCCTCCTGGCCCACACCGAGGCCGGCCTGAAGCAGGCCCAGTTCGCCAAGAGCATCGGCTGCCTGGACGTGGCCCTGCAGAACTACATCAAGGCCTCAGTCATCCTGCTCCAGATCCTGCCGCATAATTCGGCCCTCCGATCCGTCATGGAGGCCCGCAAGGGCGCTCGAATGCAGTACAAAGCCCTGTGTGACCAGATCAGCGCCGAGAGCGACGCCTACGAAAAGATCAAGGCCCTCATCCTGGCCGACAATGCCCGGTCTGGCGTCGTCCCCAAGACGGCCCTCCCGGCATCCCGAGTCCAAGAGACCAGCCAGCAGGCCAGCCAGCACGTTCGCGCCAGGAGCACGGCCGTCCACAACAACGCGGCCGGCCACTGGCCCGACGTGCCGCCCAACCACCCGGTCAGGTCCAAGCCGGCCATCCAGCCCAAGCCGCAGTCGCTCGCCGGCAAGACCATCAAACCGGCCGGCAGCCCTTCCAACAGCAGCAACAGCAACAGCAACAGCAAACCGAGCTTAGACCTGGCCGAGCGGTTCGCCAAGCTGAGAACCGCAAAGGAACCCACGGCAGCCGTCCAGACGAGCGAACCCAAGCAGGATCCCCGGATTCGCACACAACCCATTAGCCACACCGGCTTCCAGCAACAAGCACAATCACAATCTTCACAGCAGCAGCAACAACAACAACAACAACAACAGCAACAACAACAACAACAACAGACACAACAACAGCAGCAGCAACAGCAGCAACAACACCCTACGCCCAGCATGCAGTTCAAGGCGTTCCGCTTCGACCCCCAACAGACACCGGCGTCTGGATCGGCCCGGCCGCAGTACCCGGCTCTCATTGCCCCGTTGCCCGACCTCCCCAAAGTGCCCGAAGCGATCTACAGCCCGGCACGAGGGTCCGTTTCCAGCCAGGCAGCACAGCCTCCGTCTAGCACGCCCAAGGGCATGTTCAGTCGGACAAATTCGACAACCTCGTTTACGGGCATGATCAAGACACCAGCTTCACAGCCGTCCTCCGAAGACTACTTCTCGCTGCGGCTCTCCTCGGATCGAGCACCGCCTCGGCCCTACCAAGACCCAGCGCCGCCCCGAAGGCCGCGCATCTCGATTCCCGACGGCGACACCATCACGGTCCAGGAGCTGCTCCGGTTCATCAAGGCGGGGTCTAAGGAGATCCGCCTTCTCCTGATCGACATCCGGAGCCGGGAAGAGTTTGATGAAGGGCACATCATGTCACAGGCGACCATCTGCGTCGACGTGGACACGCTGCAGCGGGAGAACATTGCGGCCGACGCCATCTCGGACAGCCTGGTCCTGGCACCGACGACGGAGAAGCGGCTGTTCGACAGCCGCCACGACTTTGACCTGGTCGTGTACTATGACCAAGACACGAAGGCCATGCGGCTGATGGGTGACGGTCTCACGGCTGCCGAGAAGGCCGTGGTGGCGCTGTATAACGCGCTGGCGTACTATGACTTTGCGCATGCCGACGGGGAGCACAACAAGAAGCCGAAGCTGCTGCGGGGCGGCCTGGACGAGTGGACGGACATGATGGGCGCGGCATCGCTGCAGACGTCGTCGACGATGGCCGGTGTGACGCAACGGTCGCGGCTGAACGTGCTCACGCGGCCACACGCCAAGTACATGGCCAAGCCGATCCAGGACGCGGCCGAGGCGAAGCGATGGGAGGAGACCCTGAACAACATGGAGAAGCTGACGATCCGGCGGACGACGGAGGACTTTCTGCGCCGGTATCCGTCCGTGTCGGCGATGCAGGAGTCGATGACGTCGATGACGACCGACAAGGCCGACAAGGCCGAAAAAGCCGAGAAGGCTGTCACTTCTTCGCGGAACAGCTCGCGGTCTTCGTCGACAGCACCCGGCCTCTACGCGACGCCGCCTCCACTACCGCCACTGCCGACACCACCGGCACGGCCGGCACCCACGGTGCCGCGGCAGAGCCACAGCGAGCTGGCCGAGGCCGACGACGAGGACCACTACATGCGCACGAAGCTGGCCAAGGCGGGTGTCGGCGGCGGCGGGCGGCTGCGGCGGCAAAAAGTCGGCCTGTTCAACCCCGGCAACTGGTGCTACGGAAACAGCTCGTTCCAGTCGCTCTTCGCCTCCGGTGGCTTCTCCGAGGAGCTGACCACGGGCGAGTGGGTCGACCGCTGGAAGGTGCCGATGAAGAGCGACGAGAAGATCAGCCACCCGCAGCTGCTGGCCAAGATCCTGGCCAACTCCTTCCACTGGATGCAGTACGGCAAGTTTGAGGCCATGAAGGCGAAGACATTGATGGTGGGTTTTTTTCTTTTTCTTTTTCTTTCTCTTTTTTCTTTCCTTTTCTTTTCTTTATTGTCCTTCTTTCGTGTTCTTTTTCCCCTCCCTAACATCCCAGGACTACTGCTACCACATCCACTCCCACGACTTTGACGGAAGCACCAAATCGGACCGCAGCACCATTTTTGGCGGCCCGTATCAACAAGACGCCCAGGAATTCATCTCGTTTCTGCTGACTAATCTGCACGACGAGACGAACCGGCTGCGAGACCGGACGGGCGAGGTGCAGCAGCCAGCGCTGGACGCGCGCAGCACGGCACTGAGCAACGGACTGCGGTACTGGAACGAATACCGACGCTACAACGACAGTCTGGTAGACAAGTACTGGCGCGGCGTCGAGGTGACGGACCGGCGATGCCGCAGCTGCGGCCACCCATCGCTGACGTACGAGCCGTTTGACGCGCTGCACCTGCCGATTCCGCCGACGAGCAGCGGCGCCGCCGTGACGACCATGTCCGAACTGTTGGCACAGTACTGCAGCGCCGATGTCTTGGCCGAGTACAAGTGCGACGCGTGCCGGCGAGCTGACACGACCGAAAAGCGCGTGCGCCTGGTGCGGCTGCCCGATCTCTTGTGCGTCTCCTTCCGCCGCTTCCAGGGCAACGAGCACAGCGGCTTTCGCAAGAACACCACCGCCGTCGTCTTTCCCATCGACGGGCTCGACATGACCCCATACACGGTGCAGGGCCAGACCGCGCCCCCAGACATCGCCGCCGATCTCCGGGGCGTCAACGGAGACCGTCCGACAGAGCCGCAGTTCTGGGCTCCCTTCCTCTACGACTGCTATGCCGTCATCGTGCACAGCGGAACGCTGCGGTCAGGCCACTACCGGGCCTTTGTGCGCGACGAAGGCGGCGCTGCTGCGGCCAGTCCGGCCATCAACGGCAGTGGCAGCAGCAACAGCAACAGCAACAACAACAGTGGAGCTAGCATTGGCATTAGCAGCAGCAGCAACAGCAGCAGCAGCAACAACAACAGCAGCTCCACCATCGCCGACAGCCACCGGTGGCACCATTTTGATGATGCTCGCGTCGAGGCCGTCACCATTGGCAGCGGCGACGGCCGCGATATGGCCCGGCGGCTGTACCGCGACAGCGATGTGGCGAGTGCGTACGTGGTCTTTTACAAGCGACGCCAGTGAGATTGAGCGCGAACTACGATACCATGGGTGACAGGTTGGGCACCGTTGAGAGCTCTCGCGAGAACATGCAGTTCATTAATGGTCGTCAAAATCTCATGCTCATGTTGGACTGCGTACAAAAAGACGCCAAAATGTAGTTAGATGCTATGCGATGTCTCACATACCCCACTTCATCGCAGAGACGTTGTCCACAGGACATTGGCGAATGATGACACAGGAATATATATCCCAGCCGTGCTCTCCCAGAGGCTGCGAGTCCGGCAATGCCGCCTAGAAATGGTCTGCATTCCGCCGTTAGCAGGGAAGGATGAAGAAGGGAAAAGAAGGGAATACCGACCAAGAGTCATGCTTATGCTGACGTCCGTATTCTCCACCATCTTGGTGAACTCCTCAAAGCTGATCTTGCCGTCCTGGTCCAGGTCGGCCTCCATGATCGTCTTGTCCACAATCTGCTGCAGCTGCTGATCCTTCAGGTTGTTGCCCACCATCATCTTGAGCACGATAAAGAGCTCGCCGTTGCTGATGTAGCCGTCCCGGTCGATGTCGTACACCTTGAAGGCAAACTTGAGCTTCTGCTCCTTGTTGCCCTTGGACGAGAACGCGCTGAGCCCGGACACGAACTCCTGAAAGTCCACCGTCCCGCCGCCGTCCTCGTCAAAGATCGCAATCATCCTGTGCGCGTCAGCTGTCCGTCCCTCACCGCCACACGCCCGAAACAAGAAAGACGAAACACACCTGGTCGCTAGCGGGTTCGACGCAATCTGCGGGAGGCTCAGAAACTCGTCGCGCTCAATCGTTCCTGAGTTGTCCTGCACTATCGTCAGCATCTTGTCTGGCCACAGATCGGTCCCCGTCGCCCGGCCGCGCAGCCCTGTCCATTCGCACCTTGTCGAGCTTCATGAACCGCTTCTTTATGCGGTCGACCTCCTCCCGGTCGACTGCGACGCGTCGTGTTAGCCTCGCATCGCTGCTCTCCCATGTTGTCCTTGTTGGCCAGAGCCTGGGCCACACTCACAGTTCGTCCCCTGGACAATGTTGTCCAGGACAGCACTCGTCGTGTTGCCCATCGCTTCGGTCTGCGCTCGGCTCTCTTCACTCTTGCTCGACTCCTGTTCGCTCCTCGCGATGCGGCCGGTCCTGACGGCAAAGGCGGCTCTGTCTGAGAGGGGAGCCTGGCCCTTCCCTCTACCGTTTCGTCAAACGTTCCTGCTGCTCTTCGCGCTCGGTCTGCTGTCGGTACGTTGTGAACGGATGGACTCGTCGATGCGAAATGGCTTCTCTCTGTTCGCGCCGGCTGTCGTTTGCGTCCGCGTGTTGGACTTTGCACTTTCTCGATAAGGCTGGGGGAAATAAACGTGAGCATGCCTACACGAATCCAACACTCCCAAGTCCTTCATATGGCGGGGAGTCCCACCCAGCTAAGACTACTTACATAAGATTTTAAGCTTCTAGGCGGCCTTAGTTCCTATCTAATCGCCGCCTCCTATTTCTTATCCAATATAGCCAGAAAAGGGGGAACTACGGGGCATACATGTTGCCATATCACGTGCCGTCGCGTCTGTCTGTCAACACAGCATCGTCGTTGTCTTGTTTTGCCTTGAATCAAAGTCCTCTTATATCATGCGATCTGAGCATTCGCAATAGCCAATAATATTGTCCGGAGTCAACACGACTATATAGAGAAGCTTTAGCTGCTCGAAACATATTCACTTGAATGGTCTATTTACACAGTGACGATAATATCCTTAGTCATGTGTACACTGTGCTCTTCAACGTGTCCTCCGCCTCTCTAGAATCAATGCCAATTGAATGAGCCTTCGCCTTGTGATATAGAAAACTCGCTTTTCAGGTTCAATCAAACGAGCTACATAGCCGAAACCGAATATCGACCTAGAATGTAGATGCAAATTTTGTACAATGGGCTGTGAGGCGATGAAGTGAGATCGCATTGCTACCACTAAGCAATCGGGACATGTAGGGACTGTTTGCCACTTTTTCCAGTGGGGTTTTAGCGTTCTGCCCGCCTACACGGATGGACGTGTGGTGTCTATTAGGGGAGGACCATTACTAGCATATATGGAATTGGTTGGTCTTTCCCTAATCATTTTGCTGTCTGTTATTTTTCCTAATTCCCCATTCCACCAGAAACACCCCTCTCACCCACCAAATCCCGCTTACGACACAGGAAAAAAATTTCCACCCGGAGAAAGCACGCCAAAAATCAGTCGGCCATTTGGGGTGTGTTTTCGAAGCATTAAAAACGACCAAAATCCATCGCTTTTTATCACAAAAAGTGCACCGGGTGGTGTCGCATGGCCTGTTTAATATCCTGATCGATCTTGAGGCGGATTTTCCGCGGGCTTGGTGCCCATTTTACTCTCTTTTGACATCCACCTTATTTCGCCGCGACCATGGCAACGCGCAAGGTCCGCTACAAAAAACTCAGCATAAAAACAGCTCTACCTGTTTTACGTGAGGATCAGGTCGACCCCAGCGAATACGAAGCCCTCACAAGCGAAACACAAATCGCAACCGGTGTCGACCAAGCAGAAGAAAATGTGAGTAAATTGAATTGATGAAAAGTCATTACCCTTTGTTTTGTTGATGAAGCATCACTCGTCACGTGCATTTGCACGTGATATTTCTTTGTGTTACATAAGCGTTTCTGCGACCTAATGACTGACCTTTTCCTAGGAATACCATCTGCAGGTTGTGTTGCAGGGCCCGGCAGCTGCCTCCGATAAGGATATTCCAGTGCCGCCGCCCCAGGAGAGCGACGTCAACTATGACGCCCTCTACTCTCGTAGCTTCACGCAGCCGGCAAACTATATACGCTTCTCGCAGACTGTCGAGGAGTGCATAGGATGCCTGTATGACATGACAGAAGAGGATGAGGAGTTTGTGAAATCATACAACCAAAAACGACCTGCGAACTCACAGTTGTCCGAGGATGACTTTGAGCAGATCATGGAGGTTTTCGAGGACACTGCATCCATTTCAACCCCATATGCGTCAGTTGACAAGACGATTGTGCCATATGACCACATGGTTGCCGGCCTGAACGAGCTTCAGTTGCCGAAAGTCATGCATCATGCGAAAGAGATCTATGAATACTGGAAGTCCCAGAGAGCGGCAGTAGGTGGGCCGTTGCATCCAGCTCTCAAGTTCGAGACGCACCAGGACTCGGATGAAATGGACCCATTTGTCTGTTTCCGGAGACGCGAGGTTCGGCAGACACGCAAGACCAGAGCACGGGACATCCAAAGCGCAGACAAGCTCAAGCGGTTACGTCGTGAGCTAGAGGACGGACGACAGCTTGTCATCCTAGCACACGAGCGAGAGGTCCACAAGCGCGAGCTGCTCCGAGTTGACCGGGCCGTATATGAGCAGAGGGCCAAATTGAAGGAGATGAAAATCCGGCTTGGCATCAAGACGGATGATGAAGATCTCGTCAACCAAAAGGTAAGCAGGAACCTGCGGAAGCTTTGTCCGAAAGGTGGCACAGGAGGCGCTGACATTCGCTTTCACCTTGGCAGCCCCAGAAGAAGAAGGTGCCGGAGCTCTCTATTGCACAGCGTGCGCCGGGTGCCCAGGTGCGGGCGCCAGTGCGTAGCGACGGACGGCCAACGGAGATGGACTTGGTGCAGCTGCTCGATGCTCTTGTAGAGAAGGAGAACGAGCTGCGTGCGGATGTGATCAAGAGGATCGAGAACCACCGGCGGTGGAACGAGAATCACGTCGACCTTACCTGCGAGCCATTGGGCCCGGTAAAGGACCAGAATGTTGGCGCTGGATTCCGGCCAGTAAAGACGCAGTATTTGATGACGCCGCCGGCTTCCGAGACGTCCAACGACGATGGCACAGAAGCAATGGAGCTGGACGAGCCGGCGGCGCCGGTTGTATTCCAGTTCAGAGGCGTACAGCAGGAGGCAGATGCGGCCGGCCCCCGTCTTCAGTTCCGTCGCCGGATAGGACGGCTGAACCGGTTGTGGATTGACCGCAAGAGAATGCCTACTCCGCCTCGAGATGTGTCTCCGTATGGGGAGGAGATGGATGTGAACATGGTGTCTGACCGATGGAAGTACGACGCGGACGACAGCGACGACGAGCCAGAAGTGTACGAGATCGACCCGTACGACACCCGTGCCCTCAAGTTCCGTGCATCGCTTCCGCTGCCGTTTCCATTCCAGGCGCGGCGACAAGAGCTTCCGGCAAATGCGGCAGGACGAGCAGGCAGCGCGTCACAACCAGGGCGGCCAGCAGGCCAGGTGCGGCCTCCAGCTGCACAACCAACACCGGCCGCACACATCTCAGGCACAGCCAATGGGACGTCGTGAGGCTTTGCTGAAGAGCGCTTCTTGATTTCGAGCGCCTAGGCGAATTTCTTCTCCCCTCTTCCGTTGCCAGTCTCTTGGCAGACGCATCTTCGGGACGTCGTACTGTATTATTTATGTTTCCATGCTTGGGTCTTTGCAAGGCGTTCTGGTGGGTTTGCGCATCTGTGTGGCATTAGTTTTTGATCTCGCAGCGAGATGCAAGGCGCAACGGTGGTAAAGGGGTACGGTAGTGGAATGCAATTAAGGGGAGATGGGAGATATGTGTATGATGGTCGGAACGGACGAGAAGGCCGTTGCCAAAGAAGTTGGGCAGAGTGGCGGGTAAGCAGAAAAATAAGAAGAAAAAAACAAATACTGATAACCATTTACTATCGTCCAAGACTGGTAGTCGACCATGTGTAAAAAACAACCACAGACTAGGTGCAAGTGAAAAGAGAACAGAGGGATGAGATGAGGGTGTGCGTCTTACCAAACCGTGCTTACAGTCCAACGAGGCTGCAGCATGTGTTTTGTAGAGAAGAGATGCGCGATTCGAAGCGCATGGTGGCGGTAAAAGAAACAGGCAAAGACGAGACTGTGAGGCTGAAGAATAACAGGCAGAAGGAGAGAGGGTTGGCTGTGCAGTATAGGGAGACCTGATTGGCCTCGGAGCAGCAAGACGGAGCGGACAGGCAAGAGGGACGAGGAAGAATCTGGGAAGAGATATACAGAGTCAGACGGCGAAAGGGCCTGGGAAAATTGTGGGAAGGGCAAGGCAAGCAGATATTGTGTAAAAGAAAAACATGGACGTTCGGAATGATTGTTCAAAAGGCAACGACATCGGTGGTGTGGGGAACGGACGGTGACCTAAGATTTTTGGGGGGTGGGTCTTTCCTACAGCGGATGACATTTGAATTTGGGGCTTGCAATTGGCGGCGGCCGGCACTTTAAAACTCTTGCCCCTCCAGGATTCTGCATATGTGCATAAGCCGGGCCATGTTTCTGCTTAGAAGCAAGCCAGCAGCCCTACGGCGAGGACCGGGAGGGAAGCAAGCATACAAGGAGAGAAACCGGGATCCAGTGATCCATACAACCATACAGCCACCCAAAAGAGACATGTCCCCCAAGCTGGACCCCCAGCGGCGGTACCGCATTGCCGTCGGCTGCGAGGGCTCGGCCAACAAGCTGGGCGTCGGCGTGGTAGCGCATGCAGTCGGAGCCCGCGATGGCGATGCCGATGCCGTGGTGGTGCTGGCCAACGTGCGCGACACCTTTTCGAGTCCGCCGGGGACGGGCTTTCTGCCGCGCGAGACGGCCGCGCATCACCGGCAGGCGTTTGTGCGGGTGGCACAGCAGGCGCTGAAGGACGCAGGGATTCGGCCGGCAGCCGTCGACTGCGTCTGCTTCACGCAGGGTCCCGGCATGGGAGCGCCGCTGGCCGCTGTCGCTGTGGCTGCCCGCACGCTCGCGCTGCTCTGGCAGCGGCCTCTCGTGGGCGTCAACCACTGTGTCGGCCACATCGAGATGGGCCGTGCCGTCACCGGTGCTCGCAATCCCGTCGTGCTGTACGTCTCGGGCGGCAACTCGCAGGTGATCGCCTATGCCGGCCGTCGCTATCGCATCTTTGGCGAGACCCTCGACACGGCCGTCGGCAACTGCCTCGATCGGTTCGCTCGCACGCTGCGCCTGTCCAATGAGCCGGCTCCGGGCTACAACATCGAACAGCTCGCCAAGGGCCCCTTTCCTGATGGCCGCAAACCCCTCTTGCTCGACCTTCCCTACGCTGTCAAGGGCATGGACTGCTCCTTCTCTGGCGTCCTCACCCGCGCCGATGAGTGGGCTGCCCATATGCTCGCCGGCAAGCCCGCACCCGACGGCCACACCACCATCACCCCTGCCGACCTCTGCTTCAGCCTCCAGGAAACCGTGTTCGCCATGCTCGTCGAGATCACCGAGCGCGCCATGGCCCATGTCGGCAGCTCCCAGGTCCTCATCGTCGGTGGCGTCGGCTGCAACGAACGCCTGCAGCAGATGATGGGCCAGATGGCCGCCGACCGTGGCGGCTCTGTCTTCGCCACCGACGAGCGCTTCTGCATCGACAACGGCATCATGATCGCCCACGCCGGCCTCCTTGCCCACGAGTCCGGCTTCGAGACCGCTCTCCAGGATAGCTCTTGCACCCAGCGCTTTCGCACCGACGAGGTGCTCGTCACCTGGAGGGACGACTGACACTCTTTCTCTCACTCTCATTCTGTCATGCCGATACCCAACCAAAATAAAGCTCAATCAAACCAGTTCATCAATCGATTCGTAGACTATTCTATCCGTAGTTGAGCCCCTTCCCTTGATAACGCATTAAAACCACACGGTGTTACATGTCTCCCAGCCCGTAGACAGCCGTCGTCCGTTCTCCCTCAGTGCTTGTCATCCAAGCCGGTAGGCTTGTAGATGATGTTTGTGACAAACTGCGTAGGTGTTAGCGGCATGGAGAGGTATTGAGACAGTGGGGAGGAACCAACCTTGTCCTTGTATCGTGTCGTGGCTGACACGGCCAGAATGTTATTCTTGATGCTGCTCGTCGCCAGATGGTTCAGCACCGAGTGGTTCGGCATGTTGAGCACGCTGTTGTCGTCCTTGATGAGCGTCGATGCATTCAGGATCGGCTTGCCCAGAAATCCCGGCAGACTCGGCGGCGGCGGCAGAATCTCCGTCGCCGCCGACGCCGACACAAACGCTGGCGAGTCATCTGGCTGGTCGTAGTCCACCAGGTACTGCGGCAGCTCGTGCGAGAACGCCGACGGCGGTGGCACGTTCTTCCACCGGGGCAGCTTGGTCGTCAGCTCGGCCGACGACGGCGTCGCCGCCTTGAGCTCCCCTGTCGAGAGCGGCTGCGGCTGCGACTGCTGCGACTGCTGCATTTGTTGCTGCTGCTGCTGCTTCGTCTGCTGCGACGGCTGCTGCGACGACAGCTGCGACAACTGCGATGCCTTTCGTTGTTGATGCTGCTGTGACGATGGCAGTTGTGACGACTGCTGCGGCTGCGGCTGGCCCTGTGATTGTTGCTGGTTCGGCTTCGGCTTTCTCATTTCGGCCGCTGCGGCTGCGGCGTCGCTCTCCTTGGGCGGCGTGCTCTGTGGCGCCACCTCGATATAGTTGACCAGGTTGTTCCCAAAGTCGACAGTCGTCGGCATGTCACGTGACGTCTCGGCCTGTCCGTCCACGAGAAACCGGATGTGATACGTGCCGGGCAGCACGTTGATCGTCGTCGCAAACGTGCCTGGTCGTCCCTCGCTGCCAGAGTCGTGATTAGCCTTGACCAGATAAAACAGATGTTTCCCCAAGCCAGAGGGGGGCACACTCACACTGGGTGCAGCCGCTGCTTCTTGTTCCACTGGAAGATCGTGCCAGTAACATAAATCTTCTCGCCGCCCCGCAGCCACTCCAGCCGAGTCGGCACGGTGGGTCGTGTCTTGTCCACCCGCAGCTCCTCCATGTCCTCCTCGTCGACCGTGGTCGAGCTGACCGTCGACGATCGATGTGTCAGCCCGTCGTTGTCAAGCGCCTCGATCTCCTCCAGCAGGCTGTCGGCTTTGCGCGGCGCAATGATCGGCGATCCGGGCGTGTGTACCTCTTCTTCGATCGGCAGCGGTAGTCGTGGCGGCCGCGTCAGATACGACATGTCCTGCATGCTGTTGTGGTGCAGCATTGACATGTCCATGCTGTCGGTATAAGGACTGAGGGGAGGGTCGGAGTCGAATGTATTCATTCCCACTCGGGCCATCGAAGCTGGCACTGCCACGGCTGCTGCAGCCGCCGCCGCTCCGGCTGTCGGAGGCAGCACGTTGCTGTGGGGGACGTCGACAGGTCGCGTGGTTGAGGAGGGCGCCGTGCCGCGCACCTCGATCGGCCGGGGTTTGATGTCGGTCGGCTTGGCGGCGGTGCCAACAGAGGAGCGGGCGGGCGACGCTGATGACGCGGCCAACACCGCAGCCTCGGCGGCAGAGCCGTACGATCGCGGCGGCATCGACGTCGGTCGCGCTGCCGTCAAGCCTTGAGCATGGGCCATCGACTGCTCGGGCGGTGCGGCTGCAACGCGCTGGTTTTGCACCAGGACCGGATTCCTTGCGCCTTTCTGTTGCTGTTGCTGCTGCGCCTGTTGCTGCTGTTGCTGTTGCTGCTGTTGCTGCTGCTTCTTCAGGTTTTGCTGCTGCTGCTGTTGCTGCTGCTGAAGCTGCTGATGGTAATGTGTCGCGCGAGCCGTGCTGATACTACCACCGCCACTAACGCTCCCTCCAGCAGAACTTCCCTGCCCTGCGGAGCCTGATGCCTTTGGGGAGGAGGCGTTGTTCCCCATGCTGAATTGCCACAGATCGTATCCGGTCGGCAACGCGTCTTTCTTCTACCTGTGGAGATTGCACTCGTATCTGTCTGGGCAAAAGGTGCCAACGGTAGGCTGGCTCAATGGTCGGTCAGAAGAAGACGAGCAGCCCTGGGAGCACAGAAGCAAAAATGGCACCCAGTGAAGCGGCTTGTTCAGAAACGGATCCACCTGCTCTCACGGCAGACTAAAGCGGTCCTCTTGGCAGGTGGCACTGGACGCTCGGATTGTCGAATAAGTCGGCCTGGGAATTCGTGCTTAAGGATGACGAAAAGAGCGTTCTCGCCTGAATCCCCGGAAAGGCTGTCGAGCAAAAATTGGGGTTGGTGGGGACGGCAATGGAAATGCAACTCCAGAAAGTAACACGTCAGGCAAGGGTTCGGAATGGTCTCCTCTGTCGGGGAGGGGGGACTTGGTTCGCCACTCGTTCGGTTTGTCCGATTCATACTATGTACGGAGTACGAACGAAATAACCCCCGACCCTCCGATAAGCGGGTCTATTGTCATGCGCCTCTCATTGGCTGCAGCTAAGCTATGCACCCAGGCTATGTAATCTGAGCGCCCTTTCCATAATCTAGGTAGAATAGGAGCACGTAACTCACCTATCGCACAATAAGCCGTCATAGGATGGTCCTGTGATGCAGAGCAGGTGCCTTAGCCAGACCGATTATAAATGAGCCGGAGAGGAAGCCTATAGCGCTCAGAAGCGCTCACGCGGCATCCTCATGTCGTCTTCGGCTTCACCGGTGCCTTCGCCTCTGACCGCGAACAACGCTTCTCCTTCGTGGACAAGGGTGCTGCTGTCGTCTCTGTCCGCCCTCCAAGGCATACTGTTCAACCTGTCCACCTTTCTCGTCTACATCACCGGCTATCTCATACGCGCTCTGGCTTGGACGTTGTCTGGCCTTTATGCCGCAGCTGCTTGGCCACTATCGCGGCTTCTGAACTTTGCACGCTTCGCCCTGTCTCCCATCACCTGCACGATTGCCTACGCCTTTGCTCCAATCACATACATCTTCCGCTTTGTCCGCCAGTTTCAGGTAAGCACATACTGTGTCCCCGCTCCTCTTCACCTGCTTGCCCGTCGGATACGTTCACTCTAACACATGGTAGCCTCTATACACATTTGTATGTTCATCCTACTCACTGCTCCTGGTCGAGTTAGATTTCGGGCTGACTATTCGTAGCTGGGCTCTGCTGCTGTCGTCGGGGCTGTCGTCGGTCTCGTGGTCGCACTCGTCTCGAACTACTTTGTTTCTGCGCTCCAGTTGGGTCCCGAGTCAGAGCAAGAATCTTCTACAGAGTCGGAAGAAGAATGGACGCCGCATTCAATCAAGCCGGCAGCTTCATCACAAGCATCGGCCAAATCACCCGCCGGAGGACGTGTGCCACCCCGAGATGATGTCTGGCTCTGGCTCGAAGATTTCAAGCCACACCAACCAGATGCAGGAACGCCGGAAAACGTATCCGCAGTGCGGCTGAGCACAAAACAGAAGCGCTATCCCAGTGGGTTATTATCTCGGCCCGTCGTGGAAAAGTCCTCTGCGGATTGACTGGATGTGCTCTGTAGGCGTTTTCTGCGCGCAGTGTTGTCACGATAAGCTTCGGGATGACCGCGATACCTTGTTCGTTCTCTATCTTCTATATGAACCACCTAGATACCAAAGAGCTTCTTTACCGGCTATGCCTAGCACTCTACATGTAAATCGTAGTCAATGAAGATTCCACGCCCACTCAAGTCTCTGTCGCGGGGTACTCTCTATGTTTTCTATCCCCGTATTGGCAGTCGAATTGGAACGTGCATTGCACCTCCATTATGCCACCACCTATTGGAACTTGAAGCCTCTGTCCATACCGACAACCTGGGCCATTTGGTCCAGGATCACTTCGATGTGGTTCTTCTTCAGGCTGTCCTGGTCCACGCTGTCGTTGTGCCCGAGTCGGGCTATGCGGCTTTCCGCCATCTCCTGAAGAGTGGCGTTCTCATCGGCACCTGTCGGGTCCGCAAAGACATACGACCGGTACTCGGTATTTTCCCAACCGGTAGCTTGCAGTTCACGCTTTAGCACGTCATATATACGCCAGGAGGGGGTGTTGGGGCCTCATGTCCTACCTCGCTCCGGCGGCACCCCATGAAAGTCCTCTGTGAGGAAGTGAAGAAAGGCACCATGCGAGACCACGGCAATGTGGTCGTCTCCGCCCAAGTGCGCCGTCAGCTCCCGCAGCGTGCAACGGGCTTTGCGGGCGCGGGCCTCGATCTTGGGGATGGTGGGCTCAAAGGGAGTGTCGGCGCTCTTGTTGTTCCAGCCGGGCTTGACGCGCGAAAAGTCGACCTGGTCTCCAAACAGCTTGTGCAGAACGGATGGGTCCGAGCCCACGTCAGACGGAAGGGTCGACAGTTCCTGCAGCTCTGGGATGGCCACCACAATAGTGCCGCTGGGAGCAAGCTCACCGAACGACAAAATGCAGGTCTGCAGCGTCCGCTGCATCGGCGAGGCTACTAGCATATTCAGCTTCTTGCCGTGAGGGTATGTGGCCCGCAGGTTGTCACACTGTTTCTCACCCCGGTCCGTCAGGACGGGATCTTGAATTCTTTGGTTCTCGATGGCGATGTTGTGCCAGCCCTCGGCATGGCGGACAATATCAATGACAACCATGGTGGCGATAAGTGCAACTGGAATTCTGTGTAGTGGTCGTTGTCCTGAGAAATGTAGTTTGGCAACGATGTAGCGGAAAGTCCGTTGCCGTCGTGTTTTGGTCGAACAATTAGTATGAGGGAAAAGTTTTGGGTGTCGTCTATAGTTTCCTAATCAGACGTCCAAGTGCCTGTGATTGCGTACAAAGGCAGCGGTATTGTGAGTCAAAGCTGATTGCCGCAGTAGCCCAATCCAGTCCTATATCCTTGCTGCAGAACGCGCTTTCCTGTTTCTACACGGGCACGTCCAGAGTCGTGCTATCGCGAAATTCGGTTGAGCTAAATTGAAGTGGCTTCGCTGGCTTCAAGCACGGGGAGACGTCCTTGCCTCTCTTTCGTCAACTTCCCCTGCAGGCCCGTTCTAATATACTGGGGTTTTCCGGCAGGGGCGCCAAATGCGGCGCTTGCAAATAGTGATTACCAGGCAGCGGGTGTGGCCCTGTGGCAACATGCAATATTTGAGTAACTTCGGCATATTCTCGCCTACAGAACCACTCTTTCAGGAACAGGCAGTAGCTCTACCGTACATACGGAATAAGATACCTTAACAAGTAGTGCAGCCGGGTCAACAAAGGCGGCAGGCCAGGAACGAAAGCGGGAAGGAAGAACGACAAAGAAAAACTAGTTTGTTTGATAACGCTTTCAAGATACAATGGAACCCCGAAATACAGACAGACGCCCCAACGTCCAAACGTAAATGTCCAAACGCCACGATGTGGTAAGTACCGCTAACTCACCCATCTCACCCGACCAGAAGCCTCAGCGCCTGATACACCGTCGAACCTTTGGGCTGGCTGCGCCGCATGGCATTGCTCAAAGCCTGCTTCCGGTTTCTGCGGACACGCTCCTCGGAGAATATACCGGCTCGGCCGTGAGCTGACTCCGTCCACTCGCCAAGCTTGGCCAGCCCGGCCACCACGATGCTGCCGCTGTCGAACTGGCTAGGCTCCGGTGCGAGGCATGTGGCAGCGATGTCGCTGTGGCAGCGAGGAAGACCGGTAACCTTGTTCTTGAGGTGGGCTCCGTCCGGGCGGTGACGCCGGTGCCGGTACCGCCGCGTGTCGACGCCGCCGTCGCGGACACCAAAAATGGACTTGGGTGGGGGGCGGACTTGGCCAAAGGCAATACGCCGGTCATGGTCGAGACAGACTGTGCTGTGGGCAGAAAGCATGGTGCGAGTCGCCAGCTCACGGTTCTTCTTGCCCACGGCACCGGCTGCAATGGTCCTGACTTCTTCGAGAAAGCGGTCGAGGTCGTCGGGCTGGTCCGAGTCTGCCTTTTCCACCCAGCGTTCTTCAAAGAGCCTCTGGCGCTTGCTCTCGGCTGCTGCGGCCAACGCGGCCTTGCTCGGCAGAGGTACACGGACCCATTGCAGCTGGTCGTCGAGCACGATCTCGTACTTTTGTGCTGGCATGGTGTGCTGCTGTGTAGGCAAGTGAGCAGTTGTGTGTGTGTGTGTGTGTGTGTGTGATCTTCGGCACGCAGTAGTAATGATTGTAGACACATCGCAAATAGAGCAAACAAAACAGGGTGAGAACTGTTTACTTATAGGGTGCGAATAGCTGGGCCAGACATAAGTCCCTTTTACAAACGACGGCAGAAATTCCATTGATGATATATGCTTTGTCTCCCTCTGAAAGCAATTGCCTCGTACAAGTTCTCTTCGCTTGCCGGCATTCTATTGCAAAATGTCACCGTCCCTTTCATACATCCTTTCACCTCGTACGAGTAGATCTGGTCGATATGCACGGCAGATGGTCATTTGCTTCTGCCCTGTTTGTTTCATTTACGTGCTCTTTCAAGTGAACACCTATACAGGCGACAAAGACTGGTACTTTCCTTTATTTCCAGACTTACAACGATGCACCGCATGTACAGTTTCATTGTGAACAGAACAAAGAAGTACAATGAAAGCTCACGATAAAGAAAGTCATTGTCCTGCAAGGTCAGACTCTTGATAGTCACTCACTTGCCTTGAAATGGAGATATACAGTCTTTGTAAGCAACGGTATCAGGATCGGTAGCTAATTAAACAGCACTCGTAACATGCAGGTAGGGAGACAAGGAATGAACGAACGGCACCTTCCCATTTAGTCCGTATGCATATGCTTGTTGCTTGGCCGTGAGCTCATATCTCGTCGACGTTGCAAGAAGTCGAGTGTCTCGCTCAAGATGTGCAAGGAGAAACTTGACTACGATCTGTCACACACAATGCTTTTGTCTACCTGCTCTCTGGCTATAAATAGCAAGCTTCCAACCTACAATCCCAAAACACCAAACCGCCAACCGAGGAAGCAACTGGACTAAATAGAAAGAGAGACAGGCAGCGACAAAGACAGGGGTATGTATGTGCGTAACTATTTGCAAGTAAAACTATAAACAGCGTGAGGCAGAGTGTATCGAAGGCACGGCCGGCGAGCCGCAGTCGCAACCATCACCATGATCAGACCCCAGTCCATTCTACAGGTCGATCAGGCTCTCCTCCACCACCGGTTGCTGTATTGCGTGTTGGGGCGCCGACGGGAAGCTTTCCTGCTGGAATGCGTTGTAGTTGTTCGGAACCTGCGGCCAGGCCTGCGGAGGCGCCTGGTACTGGTGTTGAGGCTGCGGCAGTCCAGCCGTAAACTGCGCAGGGACCTGCTGGTGCTGTGCCGCCGGGTGCGACCAGTATGGCGCTGACGGCATCTGATGCTGTGTCGACGGTGAAGTTGGCGCTGCCGTAGATGCCTGTGGCTGAGACGGCTGGTAAACTGACGGCTGCCTCATCGTCGGGTAAGACGGGTTGCCAGGCTCTGATGCAGCTGGAGCTGGCGGCGGCTGGGGTTCGGACTGTGCCTGGGACTGGGTCTGCTGGGGTTGGGATGGGACTTGGCTCGGCGCCGATGGCCCGTTGTTGAAGTAGAACGCCGCATTTGGATCTGCTGACGGCGTAGAGACGCTGTCATCTTGGGGCGCACTCGGCTGCGGGGCATTCGGCTGAGAAGCTGTCGGCTCGCCACCGGCATATCCAGTTGGCTGTGGCTGCAGCGGCATCTGTTGCAGCTGTGCTGCGTATGGCAATGGGCCCTGGCCTGGAGCATACGCAACCGAGCCTCTCCAACTGTCCGATCTAGGTGGCATCTGGTCCAGCTGCGGCGCATACGAATTGGCTGCTGGGGGAGCAGCATATGATCCTCGCTTGTCGTATGATGCGTACAGAGGTTGAGGTGCCTGTCCATAGCCGATCGGAGGAGCCTCGCCCGTGTAGAAGCTTTCTGCTGGGCCTGCGCTGCCTGGTGCTGTGGCGCCTAGCAACGGATACCCCATGGACGGCTGGCGAGGCCCTGGCATGTTATAGCCGCCGAGACTGTGCTGGTTGTACGCCTTTGACAAGCGCTCTTCTAACATTCTGTCGTAGTACCGGACAACAGTGGATAGCTTCGCGTGCAGGTCAAGCAGAGTGTCTGTCGCAACATGGCCATCGCGCCCTTGTTAGAAATTTGGCTCTCGCGCATACGATCAGACAGATATACGCACCATGCTTGCTCATAGTCTCGCCATATGTCCTCGCCAGCTTCGGTCGAAGCGCGCCAATACTGTCGTAGAGCTCCTGTATCTGGGGCTCCCGCAGGATCGTGCCTGGAGGCTGTGTCTGCAGACGATCAACCAGGGTGGAGAAAAGATTTATGTTCTCGGCCTCCACCGGCGTCAGCTCGTAGTCATTCTTCGGCAGCGTAAAGGGAGCTGTTAGAGGCGCGCTGCTGGCACCATGTGTCTGCTCCTTCAGAGCCGCTGTATGCTGCTTCTTCTGCTCCTCCATGTCTGCCAAAGACGCTGCGATCGCGGCTTGGAGGTCGTCGTCCTCCTCCTCTGCTGGGCTTTTATCTGCAGCTGCCTTCCACGATGGCACTGGTTCCGAGGACGCCTCTGGCTGTCCACTGATCTTGGCGGGCGCAGAAGACGCGTCCGTCGTAGCTGACTTGACGTAGCCCCGTGAGTGGCTCTGGACCTCTTCCAAGCTCATAGCTAGCGCCCGTTTCAGATCCTCGTCGAAGCTGTCCTCAACCCGCGCATCTCGTGGCTGCATTGCCGATGTCTTTGGCTTCATTGTCGGGGAAAAGGCAAAGCCGGCGCCGCCTCCAGGAGCTTCGGGGCCTCCGCGCGACGACTTGTCGGTCAGCTTCGTGTAGCAGCCGTCGTCCACGCGGACCGGCTGCAGAATGCCGAGATGGGGCAGAGGTAGCACCTTGCTCGAGCATTGCTGGTCGAAGCAGTTACCACAGTTTCGACAGTGGTGTTTCCGGTTCGTAAAGGTAAAGGCAGTCCTGCATCGCATGCACACGTCCGAATCAATCCACTCGGGAGGCTGTGCCATATGGAAGACGGGTTAGCAGCCGGCTCATTAACACATGTAGAAAAGCGACAGCTACACCTGAACATACCGCACTGCTGTCTATCATGCTGCTGGAAACCGTAGTGCGCGGGGGAAACTGAAAGCCCTCCCTCTGCAGCGTCTTGTACACCTCGCCGATGTAATTCAGGTCGTACCGCTTCTCGGTTGCGGAGGCCCAAGACTGGATGAGCTCCAGAATCTTGGAGCGCACCTCTTGGTTCACAGATCCCCGGACCCACCGCCTTGAGCAGTGACGTCAGGTTGTCCATAAATTCACGCGATGCGATCTCGGTAAGAAAATGGGCTCCGCCGTTCTTCACGCAGGTATCGGTAAGCTGTGCTCGGTAATTTCTGACGTTAGTACTCATATCTCCACGCAGCATTGCGGCTTCTACGTCGGGGACGTACGTTCAGAGCGCTCAACTGAGTATTCGGATTCTTGTTTCCGATTCGCTTCTTCAAAGAGCGCATGGCCTCCTTCGGCTGGACCGTCTTCGACCGGATAGTGTCGGAGATCTCCAGGTTCAGAGCAATATCCTCCCTGAAAAAAGGAACTGTTAGGAGCTGAAGAGGATGCCGAGGACGACGAGAAGCATGGGGTTCGAGGAGCGTTTGGCTCACAGGCTGCTGCTCGTAGCTCTCTCTATTTGTTCATCCAGAGCCGTGTTGGCTCCTGAAGACCACCAGGACATCATCGTGAGTGCTGTAGAAGCGACGCGGCGAAAGCGTATGCGCACTTGCTGAGGAGGAAAAAGAGAACAGAGCGGAAAAGTGGCGTTGTTCGAGAACGATGACGGCTCCGCCTAGACGGTTTATCGCAAGATGCCGAGAGCGTGGCTGGTACAATACAGCAGCGAAGCAAGACGAGGTAGGGTACGGGTGCCTCCCAAGTAGAAGCGATTGCGACGCTCGGAGACGGTCAAGGTCGGCTTTGCACGGCACTCATAAATGAGATGGTGATTGTGAGAGATGGCGTTGACGATGAATCTAAATTGCTGCTGGCCTCGATTTAGGCTTTACGACGTAATACCGGGCGCCTTCTGCCTAGTTAGTTGTCTGCTGCCTTCCAGCAGGCACCACTGAAATGGCAGACAAGTGCACACTAAGCTTTGTGATTGGTCAGAGCTTCCTCGGCCAACTACAATTGGTCACGTGACCATACGCTGTGGGGGATCATTTGTTTTAGATAAGACATAAATTACTATATCTATTGAGATATGAACTAATTCGTCCCGAATTAGTAACATAATCACCTAGGTTGTTCTATATGCGTTAGAGGCCATCACAAGCACGTTCGGCTGCGAATTGAAATTATACAGCCCGAGTGGACAAGAAAGTACAAGGCTTTGCTTTAAAGCTGCAATGGAAATGCGAAAAATCCTTCGCCCACAGCGTCTAGGTCCTCACCCCTTGTGGCAATGTGCAAAAATACAAGTCGATAAGCGTACCGAACTACTTCTTCGTACTCTGCTTACAAACGGCTCCTGATCGGCTAGCTTCCCAGTAGTCTCCGAGCTATTGTAAAGCATAAATCTCGCTCGCACATAGCAGTAATCACGCTAAAAGCACAGGCTTGCTAGATGTTTGCACCGAGTGATAACATTTAGTCCGAAGAGGCAAAACAACAACCTGCTATATACAGGTAAGCCAGCCACAAAACTTTGCTGTTTCATGCAGTCCATCAACTACAACGTATCTTACCACATACGAGCTTGCTACGCATACGAGTACGAGTACTGTCGAGGCTGCAGGAAACCGGGGCGGATAACGGATCCGGTGGCCCGCCTCAAAGGCACCAAAAGATGGACCGCTCCTGCATTCAGCATATAGAAGCTTACGGAGTGCCTTCCAGCCCCGGCTAGCACTCGGACACCGGGGATTTGGCCGTCCGGTCTACTTGGGAAGGACAACTACATAATACATCGTAAGTATGCGGTGGAGCTGTAAGCCGACAAGGTCGGAACAATAGACAAATTGCGCATCGATCTCTCCGCTACTACCGAATGCATGCCGTCCGATTCACAGCCCCTCTAGGCATCTGATCGCATGTTCAGCTTTGCATATTAGGTGGGGAATGTGCTGCCTCCCGCGCAACGTCCCGAGCTGTCGACTCTATGCCGATCGTTTGTTGGCTTGACACATGTCTGTCTGCCTGCATGGCAACCCCAGGGACCCTTGTCCAGCTGAGTGCTCCATGCCCCGAGGTAAGGCTATACAGGGACGGGAAAACACACAAAAGAAAGCATAGGGAAACACCTACCAGTCAACTCGCGGCTAGCCAAACAAGTAATAAGCTAGACGATCCTGGCCGTATCTTTGTCAAGCATTAGATCCAGCGTATGTAGACATGCCTCTCTTTTGAGAAATTCCCGATAGGCTGGAAGTGTTAGTTCGTGCATTATTCCAGGCTGTATGTTGTAGGCCATACTCCGTACATGTGCACGTGCTATACCAGAATGATCCATGTCCCACATGGAGGTGCCAGATGTGGATAAAGTCGGCGCCAACGTTCGGTATTCTCTGCCTTGTGCATCTAAGCTGAGGATGGTATACGTCGTAGGGCTCGAAAGGTGGGGTTACTACCGACAGATTTGAATGGCAGCTGCATCCCTAACCACGGCACAAGTTAGAAGGCCGCGAGGCTGTGAAATCGAAGTGAAAAGCAGTTTACCTTAGACTTCTTCCGATCTTGAACAAATGTAGCTGCATATGACTTTACTACGTGTATTTACAAGCGTGGACTAAGTGCCAACTACAGGCTCTTTGGTGCGTCCTTCTTTTGCGATATTTTGCGATAAAGATGTATTGTCATATATGTAGTCTATTATAGTGTTTTTTTGCTCCCATGTTTCGCTTGCCCTCCTATATGTTGCTCACTACTATGTAAATCAGCCACAAACGCCTCCCATCCTGTCCGAAGTTTCTTATCTTGTCTTGTCACCCGCTCCACAAACCCAATTTGACTAATATGCCCGTGAAGGGACAGCTCTATGATACACCTTGACCGGTGTTGGGCCAGCCCGCTGGCCGAACCACTTCAGCTCTGTGTACCCACCCATATTCCTCCACCACCTTCAAAGCGCCAATGTTTAAGCCGTGAATCTTCCCGCCCTCTCTTATATTATTTGACCCAATCAAATCTGTCTGGAAACCGCCAACTTAGGCAGGACTGACAAAATCAAAGCACCTTTGTTTTCCGATTGGTGGGTCCTTTCGCAAAGCTAGTGGCATTGCTTAACAAACGTGAGGCATCCACCACTCGTCCTCTAGGTGAGAAGCTGAACGCATGCTCCTCGACAATCGATAGTCCTTTTCGCAACCAAGGTCAGCTGCGACACGCAACTGAAAGTCCGAACACAGAGTATTTCCAGAAGGGACACAATATCCCTTCAAAAAAAACCACATATAACGAGCACAGTTTTGCTGAAAGCAAAAAGATAACGCAGGACCAAGGCGCACGCCCAAGACTCCCCCAAATAGGACAACCTTCAGCTCAAATAGTTCCGTCGCAACAACTAGCTCTGAGCAGCCTCTTAAACCTCCTCCTGGTTGTAGAGTTGCACGCATTCAGTAAGACCTATCCAGTCAGATATCGTGATGCACACACTAGTCTGTCATAAGTGACGGCTTACCGTCCATAATGCGTTCTTCCCAAATACCATAGTCATAGTCCACTAGACCAAATATTTCCACACTATCACATAATCGAGTGAGCTCCCGGCCCATTTTTTGTAGTTTGTCGAGCGAGATCAAACTTTGTGACCGCTGGAGCTGAACGCCTGATAGTATGAACTGTTTCTGCTTTTCTAGCAGTCCAAGCCAGGCATTGTTCAAATTTTTCCACAACATGATTCGGCTCTCGTATAGCTCTCCATCGTCCAGGGTTAAGCCTGTGCAGAGACCAACGGTTAGCCAGAGTTGCCCTTTTGACATGTTATTTGACTGGATTAGCATACCCAGCAGTTCAACGTTTGAAAGCAGCCAGTCAGATATTTGCAGCAGTTGACCAGAGGCAGTCTCCAATGCACCACTTCTGACGTTTTCAACAACCTCTTTCAGCGTCCTTTGATATGAGGCATATGCCTCGTTCGTATCTGCATAATCTTGTGTCGCCATAGCAGCTGATGTCGGCGCGGATTGGTCGGAAGCCGAACCGGTTGTACGATTTGAAGGCAAGCTTCTTGCCAATATTGCACCCATAGTACCTAAATATCCTTTTTGGGGTTCGCTTTCTGTCAGCTTTCCATTTGCAAAATCATACAACGGAGTACGCACCTGTTGGCGCAGCTTGTGACTGAATGACAGTGGCAGCTGCTGCCAAAGAGTTGCTAGGGAAATAAGATGCCGAAGCTACCCCAGCTGGAATCATTTGCATTGCGCCAGGTTGGCGTGCAGAGAAGGACTGGTCGGTATCAAAGGCAGAGCTTTGTGGGCCGCCCTGGGGTACATTGTACATCACCCCGGCGGATGTGGGACTGTAAGCTCCGCCAAAGTTTTGTGGATGCCGTGTATCCTGACTATAGCCAGCTGCCGATTGACCATATTCCAATGTGTTTGGGAGAGCCCCTGACCCTGGGGGAAATACACTTGTTGTCGGTTGTTGATAGTATCCATTGTAGCTTCCAGAGCTGCCATTTCCACTCATAGCTTGCCCTCCATCTGTAGTCGTCCTTTGTCGATCGCCTGCAATAGAGCCGGTATGTTGCGTTCTTCTTTGCTGCGAGGCACCTTGGCCTGGCTGCTGATGCCCTGTGTTCAATGTGCGACGCATCGGTCTATCATTCTGTCTCTGCCGACGGAGAAAGTCGTCCATACCCCAGGGAAAGGGTCTGACTGTGCAAAAAGTTTAAAACCCCAGATCACTTCCTGTTACTGGGTATGATGCCACACGTGTAAATGTTCGACACAGATCGTCGTTTGCTCTCGGTTTCGAGTTGAGAGGTAGCTTTCGTGCTTCTGGGTATACTTAAAGTGTTGTCAATATAACCACTGGTCTTTCTGGAGTTTGTAGGCTGCAGTAGTAGGTCGTGATGTGATGTCAGGGTGAGGTGAAGTAGTGAATGCTATAGAGCGGCAGTACTCTGCCACCTTCCGTCTTGTATTGAGAACCACGGTTCTATATTTTAGGAGAAGAGGTAGGGGCAGGTGGGTGTAGGAAGGCTGGCCGTGATGTTTAGACCACGCAAGGATCTAAATAGTCTTGAAAGTCTGACTTTTGAACACAGAGAATGTACCGGGAGAAGACGTAGAGGAAAAAGAAACGATAGACGAAGGCTCCACACGAAGACTTATATACCCATGTGTGGACCAAGTTCCCAAAGGAGACAAGAGAGACAAGAGTGTGCGAGGTGTAAATTTAAGCCGTGTAACATGAAGAGTGAGGCTTTGCATAGGAGGGTCGGAAGGGATACAAATAGTGCAAAGAACGGCGGATGTCCGTTCCGTAGGCCGGCCCTCGAGGCGGTTTCAAGAAAAGAGATAATAAAAACAGCGAGGGAGTAAAATGTGGAGAGTGGGGACGGACGGGAGAGTTTCGGCGAGAGGAATGGAGAGGGATGAACAAAACTTACCTCAGCTGAGCAGGAAACGATCATCAGGAGTTACCGATTTGAGAGTGAAGACAGCAGGCTTCTTTGGTCGTTATAGTCAGCGGAGAAAGAACTTCTCGGGTTCTGCAGAGGCGACGAAAGCTGTC